TATGTTCACAACGTTGTGAACGCAACGTTTATGATCAAAATTCACTCACGTTAAAAATTAATCATTTTTGTACAGGAAATAATATTAATGCTTTCAAAATTTTTTTTAAGTTGTCGATAAAAAAATAGTGTAAACATTTTTTTTAGAAAGAAATTTAAAAACTTTCTTCTAAATTGTTGGAAAAAATGAGAGAAAATGTTTTTTTCTAAATTGTTGACTATAAACTTTGTGAATTTCACCAAAGTAATTTTTATTATTATTCATTGAACTCAATATCGTATAAAAAAATAAATACCCGAATTTTTCAAAATTAAGACATTGAAACATTTTACAGGAGAAAAAAAGTGAGGATTGATAGTGCCTAAAAAAGTTTCTTGAAGAATTATGATCGTTGCCATCGGTACAACATTTGTGTCCTAAAGGAAGAAGCCATTGAGGAATAATTAATCGGTACGCCAAACACGTAAAACATAAAACCATAAAAACCTTCTGCTTTTGGTATAAGAGTTGCTGTGTATGAGTTCCCTAAAAGTTTCTTTAAGACACGTTTCTGCAGATACTTTTTGGCGCCGTGAAAATACAAAAACTCAGATATAGTTTTTTCGAAACCGCACTGACAAAAAAAAATCTATTTCATTCAAATAAACGATTACTTGTTCATTACACAGAAAAAAAAATTATTTAATTTAAATAACAACTACTTGACTATATATTATCAAGTAAATATTTACTTCAATCAAATAATTTCTAGTTTCATCAAATAAATTTTATTTGAACCAAAAATTTTAGTATTTGAACTAAATATTTACTTGAATCAAATAATTTTGTATTTTAATCAGATAATTTTTATTTTACTCAAAAAAATTGTATTTTACTCAAAAAAAATGTATTTGAACCAAAAATTTTAGAATTTAAAGCAAATACTATATTTAATTGATTTAAATAAAAATTATTTGATTCAAGTAAATATTTATTTGATAATGAACAAGTAATGGGTTATTTGAATCAAATAATATTCTTTCAGTGTAAAAAATAAATAATTATTATTTGTATCAATTTTCATATCAACAATTCTTATTTAAATCAATTAAATGGTTATTAGTTAATAAATCATATCTGAATGTTTATTTTTAATTTCTGTTAAAAAATGTTAAACCTTTTTTCTCGTTAATTACAAAAATAATTTGAACTTCGAAATTAATTTTTGAAGACAAATTAAAAAAAGTTGAATACCTAGACCAGTTTTAAAATTATTTTCAATTTTTTTCTATTTAATAATAATAAATGTAATAACTTTTTTTTAATATATTTTTTTAATAAAAAAAACTATAATATGGATTTCGAAACGGAAGTAGGTCGTGCAAATGAAAAGGTTCGAAATGTGTTAATAAAGAAACAACCGACTACAGTTCTATTTTATGTGAACGAAATCCAACAAAGCTTAGCAACAACGGAATTCCTACATTCTTTCATTTAGAAAAAAAAATTATTGTCAGTACTTATCTGTTAAATAATTAATAATAAAAAATAAAAAAAGTAATTTTTATAGTCAAAATTACTAACGGAGTAATTTGCATTTTTGTCTCACGAATTTAAAAAAGAAAAATGTTATTAAAAATATGTTATTTAATATTTTAAATGTAATAATAATTTTGGAATCGTAAATTTTATTCTTTGTTTAATAGTAAAGAAGAATTTTTATAGAAAAATTGCAAATAAATTATTAACAATTGTATGTTAAAGTGTTTTAATTAAAGAAAGTCAATTAACATTAGTTTCGATATGAGTGATAATTAAAACCACCTGCAAAAACGTAGTCAACAAATCGTTTTACAAGCAAGTATTAATTTGGTTCAGTGATAAATTATTGCAAAATAATTAAATATTTAAAAAAATTTAATTTTAAAAATTTTACATCTGAAAAAAATTTATTTGATTTAAATCAACGACAACTTGTCTATCTATCAATCATAATTTAATTAACAAAAAAATACTTGTATAAAGCAATTTTTATTTGAGTAAATTATAATTATTTATTTGACTCAAATAAAAATTATTTGCTTACTAAAATTATTGATTCAAATATAATTTATTTTAATTAAACAGAATTAAATACAAATTATTATTAAATAATTATTAAATTAAATAAAAATTTTAATCAATGAAATATTTATTTGATAATAAACGAGTAATCGATTATTTGTATTGAATAATTTTTTTTCTGTGTTTGTAGTTTAAAATATTTTTTATTTATGAATTAATTTTTATTAATTACTAAGTTTTAAAATTCACGAACTTTCCGAAAAAGTTATTTTTCAACTAAAAAAAGTTCATAAAAAATTATTGCGAAAATATTTTCCTAGTTTTTAACGTTTAAATGAATGAATATTTTTTTCTATTTAATTATTTTCAAAAATTACTACTTAGAATAAAATTAAAAATAAAAAAATTCAAAATGAAAAGTAATTATTTTTCTAAATTAACAAAAAAATATTTTCTAACAAAATCCTACATTTTAACGAAATATAAAATAAATCGTCGTTTTATTGAACGTTCTAATCTTTAGGAACATTTGAAAACTGTTTTTTTTTTAATATTATTTTTGTAATTTTTTTTATATCTATAAATTTTTTTTTAAATTTTTATTCAACTCACCGAATAAATTGCACAAATCACTTTTAATTGAAAAGCCATTGAAACATTCGTCGATTTTCTCCAAAATTGCACTGATTTGAAAAAGAAAAATTTTCATTCATAAAATTTGTGTATGAAATTGTTAATTAAAAAAAAAAAAAAACAGTTTATTATATTTGACGTTATTTTATCGATGTTACAACATCCGAGTTTCGTTGTGCTTTGACCAGGAAGATTCTCATACTTTACGGTACTCCGATCGTCAATATTGACACATTTCTTACCAACGGCAAAACTAAAAAGTTTATTCTTCGTCACAGGACAATTATTATTTATAATTTTATACCATCTTCTTTTATGATCACCATAAACAGAAACTGGTTTTCTACTATTTTTCTTTGCAACTCAATCTCTCTAAATACTTTCCACTCTCACCTTTACTTCTCTGCATATTCGATAGACGTAATTAATTTAATTTTCTAAAATTTCATAAATTCCTGTTCATTTGCTATTTTTTTTTACCAAATCATCCCTAAATTCAGATTTATTTCTATTAATTTGAAATAATTCCAAATTAATTTCTATTAATTCGAATTAATTCAAGATTCGTTTTTATTAATTCGGATTAATTGTTAGAAGGAAAAATTACAAAAACGCTGTTCAATTAAAATGTGAAATTACAGATTTTATTTCAATCCACCTAAAACTGAATTCTTATAATAATCGTGTAATAACAATAACTATCAATAACAATAATGATAAACATTTTTTTTTGAGCTTTTTCTTGTTTCTTGTTCCAAAATGTTATTGAATAAAACTTAAATTAAAGTTTAATTTTTCATTACAGTTGTAAAACGTTTTTGTTTTTTTTTTCTTAAAATTGTTTCGAAACACAAAAATTCTTGTTGTCAATAATATTGACTCACAAACCAATAATTCATAGTTCAAAAAACAATACTTGGCAACTTTCGATTCCACTATGCGAATCTCTTATTATTTGGCGTTTTTCTTTTCTAAGTAGATAGTGAGAGAAATATATAAATATTGTATTATAAAATGCAAAGCATTCATTGCAATCAATAAGCCAAGTTTAGATTAATTTTGAATTCTAAAAATTTTTTTAAATATTTTTTCTATTATTTTATATGTTAAGATTTTTTGCTTTTCATTCTACATAGTGTTGAAGCAAATAAAGTTTTCTTTTAATGACTTCAGGCTTTTGCATTTTTTTTCCTTTTTCTACACTAATTTTTTTTATCAATAACAATAGTAATATTTTTTTCTAAAAAGTCACTTCGTACAGTCTTATTTTTTATTGAACCGCTATCTCATAGGTTTTACAATTTTTTTTTGCTCGAAAATGCAAAATACTTTTTCGGTATTGATCGCATTTAAACTAATTTTTACTTTTGTAATATACGTTATGCGTTTTGTTAGATCTATTATAATTTTGTGCAAATTAAAATTATTTATTCATCATTACAGAACGAGAAAATTGAGCAAAACTTAAATTAATAGACGTAAAAAGTTAAAAGTAAAAGTAAAAAAACATAAATAAAAACAACACTTTGATTTTTATAAATAAATTAATTAAAATAATTTTTCTTCAAAAAAAATATACACTTTTAGTTTTTAAAACCTTTTTGTAAATTATTGTTTTTTTATAATAATTTAATTTAATTTACGTTCACTGCCAAATTGAGATATTTGCAATTAAATATTAAATTACGTTAACGGAGAATATGAGCATTATGAATTATTTCATTTGAATAAAAACAGAATTAAAGAACTAATATTTAAACACAAGCAACTCAAACAATTGAAAATGGACACTGAAAATATTTCAATGAGGAAAAAATGTCTATTAATTAGAAAACAATTACAGACGAATAAAATAGTGAACACATACAAAAGTATAAAATTGGAGGTAATTGAACAAAATTTTTAAAAGAATAATTCACGGGAAACAATTTTTCTCAAAACAGATTTGCAAAAAGTTAAATTTTCAATTACTGTAATAACAACAGATTGGAGAAATAATGTCGCCTGTGAGTTATTCTTTTAAAAAAGCAATAAAAAGAAGTGAATTAAATTACTCTAACAAAGTGAATTTAACAATCATTTAAGAAAGAATATTCAAAAACTTAGAATCGATAAACTATTATAGAAAACAATTCAATTTTCTACGTGTAAAATATTTTGAATTAATCAAAAATTAACAAAATTTATCATTTTTAGTGATAATTTCTTGATGTGACTATTTATTAAATATTTTATTCTTTCTACGCAACTTCTACTTTTTTGATTTGTTATCAAAAATTTAAGCAATTTAAAAGATTAAAATGTCTTTTTTTTGTGTATTTTAATTTTTAATTATGGCACCTATTTATTTATTGTGTTTGCGTGAATACGGATATTCTTTCTTAAAATTCTAAATTTTTTTTTAATCTAGGTAATAAATGGTGTTCTTTTCTATCACGTACGCATTTAAAAATGGTCCTAAAGCTAAGCTTCCAAAACTGATATGCTATTTTATGACAATTGATACGTTAATAAATCTTGAACGAATTCTCCAATTAAGTACACACTCTCATTATGAATTCAGTCATCTTTTTGTCATTTTTTAACACCTACAATGAAAATTTTTGAGTATTTATTTTTCTTCTCTAATTGTTATTGCAAGTCAAAATTAATATTTTTGTATATTGATAATAAGTCAATTTATAACCTTGTTTTGAAAGAACTGAGAAATTTTCTAAAATTCCCAAGAGGATAGAGAGGCGGTCCAAGCTGTGACAACAGTCCAAGATGGAAATTGCGATAAAAATCTTTTAAATCTCAAAGAGGTTTGATGTTCGCCGTGCATAAAATGTCCGGAGGCAGACAATGTCATACAAGGCCCTTTATGATTTTGTGGAACCTGGAAAAAAATTATTTAAACGATTACAGAATATTTCAAAATAATTATTTAAACAATCAAAGAATATTTTTAAATTAAATTTAAATTTAGGGGGAAAGAATATAAATCTTACATTAAATTCCAGAGAAAAACTGAATGGAGAACAATTCGAGGCACATGCGAAATAAATAAAATAAGTTTCCCGATCGTTCCACATTGGTCCAAGTAGTGGTTTTTCTTTGAGAACAGACCAACGTTCCAATTGAATTCCCTTGTAAGGCGAAAAAATTATACTAATGTGATCAGGTCCTGTAGATAAAGATTTTAAATTAAAAACTTAATTTTTGTAATTATAATAAAGAAAATGAAAAAAATCAAACTTTTTGAAAGAATAAAAGAACTTGAATTACCTGTGACATTGAATACATAAGTAACTGTAGTTTTTTTCACACTTTTTACCAACATGTCAACTTTAGTGGGAATACTTATCAGAGGCGCAGGTCCTAGAATCCAACTCGTTTTCCTAAGGGAAAAACAAAACTGTTTATAAAGAATATTTCGTTTTGATTTTTAAGAAAATGAGGGCAAATTTACCATAAGAATGTTGTGACAGGTAAAAGATAAGGAAAACCGCAATATAATTCTTCCTTGCAGTCTTTTTCGGTTGACGAAGCAGCACCTATTTCCGGTACTATCGCTTCTACACTGTAAGGGCTATTCATATCTAAATTCACTATCCAATATCCAGTCCCAGAATGTCGAAGAGTGCCATTTGCGTTATAAAATTGTCTTTCTGTGTGCTAAAAGTAATAAATATTTTAAATAAGTTCTGTTCTTTTGTCTAAAAGAATTAACAATTCGAAGAACAATTTCAAAAATTAATTCGGAGAACAATTCGAATTAATTCTATATTTACCATAATCATAAATCGCTCCGCTGCTGGCGATGTGGGGTCTCCACTGTACGGAAATCCAAGGGGCGTCAAAATTAAAACACCAATTGATATTAAAAATATTCCCATTAAGACACTTAAGACTCTTTCCGCATTTCTTATTAGTAAAACAATTGGCAGCTGAAAAAGTATACATTATTATAGATTAATTGATTTAAATCAATTAAATTAATTTCTATATTATTAATAATCAACGAATTTTCATTTCTTTCAACTTCATTAATGGTTTGAATTATTAATATTAATCAACGAATTTTTCATTTCTTTCGACTGCATTAACGTTTTGAAAGAATTGTATTCGAAAGAATTTGAAAGACTCATAATAAATTTAATGTAAAAACTTTTACATTACCACAAAACTTAACAGTTGACAGAACAACAAAGACACCATATTAGCAATTACGACTTCTGAATTTATTGCAGCACCCGCTCGTCCCATAATAGGAATGAATAAAGAAAGAGCACCAATGGCTAAATAAAATGTCTGTATATAAGGCAGACATAAAACTCCCAAATTGTAGCACATCCATTTCCAATCTGTAAAATAATAAAAAACTGAATATAATAATAGTAATAATAGTAATAATAAGAATAAAAAGAAGAAGAATAATAATAACAATAATAATAATAATAATAATAATAATAACTATCATATTCTAGAGAATAATTAAGATTGAAAATTCCTCTTTAAAGAAGTAACAAATTCTCACCTCTCCATCTGTTTAGAAAATTATGTCGAATTATATTTCCAACTGCTGGAAATAAAACCCAGTGAAGTGGAATAAAACCAGAACGAATTTCTAAAATTACGCAGACAAAAAGAATAGCCATCCAGATTACGCTGTAGGCATCACAATAGAGTTGATACAAAACCCAAGGTGAATTAACAATCTAAAAGAAAATATTATTAATTATTTATAAAAAAAGTATTATATAAATTACGAGTATAAGTTCTGTCTACGTTGAACTTTTATTTACAATTTTTTTTTATCTATTATAGAATTTAAAGACGATTCTTTGAAATTAAACTTACTTGACGTTGACGTTTTCCGATGTAGAGCAAAAAAGTCATAGAGACTGTAACAGTTGGACAAACGTAGAGGAAAAATAGCCATGCCGGTCTCGCATACCAACTCATGACTTTGCCTAATTTTGTAAGGACTAAAGCTATCATTGAAACCGAGATCATTGAAATGACCCAAGAAAATATCACAGCTGTTACGCAAAACATTAGTTGCTTTACATACATGGAACTTTTCACTTCTATAAAAGCAAAGAAAAATTCAATTATTAATAATTAATCATTTATCACTAGGTCAATAATTATACAGGAGGAAAAAAATCATTCTTTCCGAGTCAAGCAAAAAGGGAGCACAGGTTTCTTTATTTACGTTTTGTAAGGAAAGAATTTTCCTTTTTTACTCGACTTGGAAAGAATGTTTTTTTTCCACCTGTATAAATTAATAATTGTTAATAATAAATTATTGTATTCAATTTTCAGGACTCGAATCAGTGAAAGTATAATAATTCAAGATGGCCCAGTTATAAAATCATTATTTTATATTATAAGAATATTGTACTTCTCCAAAATTACTTTCATCAATTCAATTATTATTTTCAAAAATTTTTAACTAAAAATCTACTTTAAATCCATTATTTTTAATAATTCTCGAAAAAGTTCTCTCAAATCCGTTTGTTTACAATATTCAATTTCACGAAATTTGAATTATTCCTAAATTCTACAATTAAATGCATATTAGGAAATTCATTTTCAAATAAGTTTTTATTAGAAAATTCTACGAGAATTCCATTATTTAAATACAAAAGTAAATAAGTTATTGAATAATTGAATGTTTCTCAAAATTCAATTCTCATAAGGAATTTTATCAACAAATTTTTAAATAACTTAATTCTTTTGTCGAATTTTATTAAAATTCGACAATTATTCGAAAATAATTACTTTTTTCAAGGAATTCACTTAAAATTGTACGAAAAATAATTGAAATTCTGCGATGAGTTCTATTATTAGTAAAAATAATTGAATCCTTACAAAGAATTTTATTACTCTTGAAAATAATTGAATTTCTGCAATAATTTATAACTTCTCCAAAATACAATTTTTTTTCTAGTGTTTTCAACTAAAATTCTTCTATAAATCCATTATTTTTAATAATTTTTGAAAAAGGTTCTTTGAGAATTTTCAAATTCATTTGTTTACAATTGAATTTTCCAAAATTTCAATTATTTGGAAATCCTTCAATTAAATATAATATTAGAAAATAAAAATTTAAAATAATTTCAAAAAAAAAATTCTATTAAAACTTTTTTAAAAGAATTAATTCTACAGAATTGTTTGTTAAAAATGTGAAAAATTAAGAATTTCAATGATTTTATTATTAAACCTTTTCAAAATTCAATTATTTCTAAGAATTCACGCTATAATGCTTTTAATATTCAATTACATCTAAAATTTTAACTAAAATACATTTTTAAATTAATTTTTATTTGAAAATTCTACGAAAATTCAATTATTTAAAATACAATTAAATAAATAATTTATTGAATAATTTAATTTTTCTTAAATTGAATTTGCATAAAGAATTTTATCAACAAATTTTTAAATAATTGAATTCATTTGACGAATTTTAATAAAATTTTGAAGAATAATTACATTTTTCGAGGAATTCTATTAAAATTGCATTAAAAATAATTGAAATTCTGCAATGAGTTTTATTATTTATGAAAATAATTGAATTCCTAAAAGAATTTTATTATTTACGAAAATAATTGAATCCCTGTAAAAATTTTATTATTTATGAAAATAATTGAATTATTGCGAAGAACTTTATAAAAAATTTGTAAATAATCGAATTCCTGTTAAAAAATGTTATTATTTATGAAAATAATTGAATGTTTGCGTGGAATTTTATTTAAATTTTTTTTAATAATGGAATTCTTTTGGAAAATTTTATTAAAATAGTATAGATATTGAAAATCATTGAATTTGAAAAAATTTTTGAAAATAATTGAAATTTTGCCAAGAATTTTATTAAAATATTGGATAATAATTGAATTTTAGAGAAGAATTTTCGAGCCCTGAATTTTTCGTTCTGAAAAACAAAAGACTAGAGTTTTTGAATAAATCTTACCTTTACGTGCGTATTCCATATTCAAATAAATAGAATAAATTCCTATTAAAATACCAATAATATTAACAATTGTCGCTACGTAGGGCGGCCATCGAATAACAAACGCCCCCAAAAAGTCAAAGAAAACGAGACTTCCTTCAGAATTTTGAGCATCAGAATCTGGCAAATAGTGACTGTCGGCTATTCCACGAGCTAGTGCAAGAATATTGTCTCCTGTTCTTTGAAGAGAACCCAATGGTATTTGATAAACAGTGTCAAATCTGGTGTGATATACGTAACCATTCGTTGACCAAGCAAAATCGAGACCTAAAAAATTTCAATTTTTACTTTAAATTTTAAAAAGTAATATAATTAATAAAATCAAGTCCTTTTTAATTTGATAATTACCCGACACATTTCCGAAGTCTCTGAATATGCGGAAATCCGTTTCCCCGGGAACAATGCCACTCTCAAAAATTTCTTGTGCCAATGACGATGCATAAGGATAGGGAACAGTTTGCGAATAAACCTCAAGAATCCAAGGATTTCCGGGTCCGGATTGAAATAAAAGTTCTCGACCTCCAGCACCACAGGCTTCCAAATTGATAAACGCTCTCACTTCTTTTGCCCACGGATGTTGAGTTATAAAACCATGTGATGCCTGAAATAAATAAATAAAAAACTTCCTTTATAAAAAAAAACAAATTGTAAATTTATACTTGTAATCAAAATAACAAAAAAACCTCTAATATATTTTCCTCGGCGCCATTGAATAAAAATATGATGTTATTCTTTAAAAGTTTCGGACTCCGGGTCATGACTCTCAAGACCTCGAGCATTATTGCACAGCCAGCGGCATCGTCCGAAGCACCAGGACTTTGCACCGAAGAGTCAAAGTGACAATTTATCAATAAACTATGCTTCGACGGCCTCTTTGGACCAAGCTTGACAATCACATTCTGAACATTTTGGTAAACATTTGTAAAACCATCCAAAAACGTTAATGTGAAAGCTCCACTATGTTTCGTAACATCCAAAATTATTTCATGATGCTCATGTGAATCACGAATTATATTATTGATTGTAGTCGTTAAAAATTTAACAGCAAGCACTTCATTCTCGTAACTTCCAGTGACTCGAGGTCCAAAACTCGTTAAATTAACAATATGACTTCTCGCTCTCTCTGCGACGAATCTTTTTGGATATAAACCTTCCGATTCGATTAATTGTGGTTCTGGTAAAATTCTCTCTAAAACAATTACTATCAGAGAAATGGAAAGAAAGAAAGTCAACACAAAAAGCAAGTGATGAGTTCCATTTGGCAGTGGGTACAATTTCTTTGGAACATGCTTTACATTATAAAAACTCTCCTCTAACGATCTTCTAGACAAATGTTGTCGTTGTCTCACACCGTCCTTCTAAAAAAAGAATCATAATTTAATATTTTAACCATAAATTTATCATTCATAAACTAAAAACGCTACAAACTTATTTGTATTACTATATACATCATTTATTGACAAAATAAACTATTGTAGGTTATGTTCAATAATACCGTGTCAACGAGCAATTTTTCAGTAGATTATGACAAATTTATTCAAAAATCATTAAAAAAACGTAAATTCAATAATTATTTAAACTTAATAAATACCTATATAAGAAAAATTACACTTTAAAAAAGTCAATTGATTCGCAGAAAACGCAGAAAACTAACAGGTTATGCTCAATAACAAAATTTAGGAACATCAAGTTTAAATTCGTAAAAAATATACTCACCATTGTTCTTATTTCTTTTCATGGAATACAAGGCACACGCTATTAAAAATAAACAATCAATTTTAACATTGAAGTAATAGTTTTATTACATGAGGATGATGGAAACTTAGCAGACGACGCTCAATAAATATGTCGTACTGCTACTGTCAGGGAAAAATAAATCTCACAAATATTTGAATTTTTCAAATAGAAAGTAATTCACTATTATTTTTATAAAAATTGTAAAAAAAATTTATTTTCCACTTTAATGGAAATTCTTCTAACTGTGTCAATAGGAATAGAAATAAAAAATATATTTTTTAATACTTTATACCTTATTTATACTATTATACAGATATCAGGATATGGAGCACGAAATCAGTTATTCTAATCAATAAACAATTTTAAAAATTGTGTGAAAAATTTAATCATAATTCTAATTTTATCGACACTTGGAAAAAATTAATGCGTCTCTCGACTAAATAATTAACTCGATTGGTCCACAGTTTCAAAGTTCACTTATACAAAATTTGCTTTATATAACTTAAAATAAAATTATCATAAATTAATAATTAAAGAAATATTCCGCTAAAAATTCAAATTCACCTCAATCGGCATCTACCTTATCGACCTTAACTTTTTAAGAAATTTTGTAATCACGATCATTAATAAACATATCAGTTCATCAGAAAATAATCATATCGACAATTAAATAGTAATCACTATGTCTTTTCTTTTCTCAATTTTATTTAAAATATTAAATTAGCTGATTTTTTTTCTTTCTTTTAAAAGTTGCGGGAGCAAGTAATATATTAATGCGCATGCGCACTGCGTGTTTAAAAGCCTTGTAATATAGCAGACGACAAGCAGACGAGTTTACACCGTCGGCTGCATAACAATAAGAAAAAAATCCATGCAGCGTTGTACAGTACATAAACAGTAGCGACGATTTTAAAGTTTTTAAAAATAAATATTTTAGTGTGATTTTTATTTATTAGTGTCATTTAGATATAAACCTGTAGAAAAAATGGATCCCGAGGCATTCCTGGACATGGCTAATCAAGTCATTAAATTAAAAATGTTCCCGTACTTCGACATCGCTAACTGTGTACTTTGCGCGCTGCACGTCAAAGAAGATTTAGGACCCGGTAAGCTTAAGCCCACTGGGATAATTCTAATTTTAAAACTTCTCTCCTGGCTTCAACACCGAGATAGCTCCTAGCCTCTTGCCATCGCTCTGTTGTATTCCTAATTTAGAATTTTATAGAGAAAATCATTTTTTTATTTTAGACAACAGAACTTTATCTAATATTCTATATTAATTTTTCGAATTTTCTTATTGCAGCTAGATTAAAATTAAACACGTTTAGAAAATTTAGTTTTCGTAATAATTTTTTTGTCATTAATACTGTAACATTTACATTTAATTTGATATTAATATAGGGACGAAAAGACACAAAAATGATTGTTTTTTATTATACAGTAGATTACAAATTGTTATGAGAGGGATTAGATTTTATAATAATGTCAAATTGTTGGAAATTAACCAAAAACATCAAAACAACACGTGCATTTTTGGCAGAAATTTGTCCGTCGTCCCTGCTGTACAACCTGGGCTATTCTATTTTTGTAAATATCTTAGAATTTATAATCGCATTTGATCAAAATTATATTGTCATAGTCTGAAAATTATGTTCAAGTTTCGTTCAATTTATAAATTTTTATTTTTAATTTTTTGAATTAAAAACTCAATTATTCTAATACATAGGAAACTAATATTTTGAATTTTAATATTTGCGGGAAATAATTATTATAGAAAAGTAGTTAATTTATTTCTTAAAATATATTTTTTATTACAGAAATTTACGCTGTATTACAATAGAGAAAAGCAAGTAAAAACTAATTTGTACCTTGACAATGTTCATTGAAGTAAAACACTTTCTGTTTTACATCAATGACATTTTTTTCAAATGACTAGTAAAAATAACAGAAACTTATGTAAATCTGTACGATCTGTACAAAAATTTGTTTATTTCCTTAGAAAAAACGTAAAAAATTTGTTAGAAATGAATGGAAAAATTTTTTAATCATCAATCAAAAAATTAAATTTTTATTTTTTATGCAAGTTAACGAATTTTTTTTTTAACTAAAATGAATATGAACACTTTATGTTCGTTCTACATTTGGAAAACTTTTTATTTCAATTCTTTTTCTTGAAATAATTCAAGCAATCGATAGGGTAGAGAGAAATAATCAATATTTTCTTAAGAATAATTTTTCTAAGTAAATATGTTACGTTCAGAGTAATTGCCCTTCAATTTTATTTCCGCCCTCTCATGCATGTTGTAAGTATTTATAAGGATTCCTATTGACCTATTTGTTGTTGTGTTGTGTTTATGAGTTCATAAATATATTATGGAAAGACAATACATTATTGAATTAAAAAAAATTCAGACAAAAATTTATTATTTTTTTCAATATTTTTATTCAAAGAATTTCGTTAAAATTATGATTTAACTTTTTTTAAATAACTCTGATTCACATTCTTTTAAATAACTATTTGTTAAACTAATTAAAGTATTTAAATAATATTTTTTTTTCTTTAAAAAATTCGTCAATTTATTATGAAGTGCGTAAAAATAGAAAGTACGAAAATTAATAAAAATAATGTTTATTTTTTACAGGGGCTCATGCATTTTCCAGAAAACACCCTTTATCATGTTGGCTCTCCACAATGTTAGTCGTTTTTTCTAGTGGAATGTTGTGCAATGGATTATTGGGAGAACCTATTTTAGCACCATTAAAAAATACACAACAAGTTGCTCTTGCTACCGTTGTCTGGTTAGTTATCTACTAAAAGATATGAATTTAATTTCATTAGAAATTTTAAGGAACTTAGATTTTCGAAAAATTTCAAAAATTCAAATTCTTCTGAAATTCGTTAAAGTTTTCAATATATTAATTACTAAAAATAATGGATTTATAGAAGAATTTTAGTTAAAATCACTGAAAAAATTTAATCTTGGAGAAGTTGAAAATAATTGCAGAAATTCAATTATTTTCAAAAGTAATAAAATCCTCCGCAAAAATTCAATTATTTTCAACAATTTTTAAAAATTCTTGTCGAAATTCCAATTATCTTTATAAATAATAAACAAATTCTTCTCCGAAATTCAATTATTTTCCAAAATTTTAATAGAATTCTTGGCAAAATTTCAATTATTTTCAAAAAATTTCCCTTAATTCAATGATTTTCAATATCTACTATTTTAATAAAATTACCCAAAAGAATGCAATTATTGAAACAAAAATTTAATAAATTTCTACGCAAACATTTAATTATTTTCATAAATAATAAAACTCATTGCAGAATTTTAATTATTTTTAACACAATTTTAATCGAATTCCTCGAAAAATGTAATTATTCTTAAAATTTTTTTTATAATCCATCAAAGAATTCAATTGTTTAAAAAAAAATTTAATAAACTTCTAAGCAAACATTCCATTATTTTTATAAATAATCTACATTTCCCAGGAATTCAATTATTCACAAATTTTTTACAAATTTCTTCGCAATAATTCAATTATTTTCATAAATAACAAAATTCTTTATAGGATTTCAATTATTTTCATAAATAATAAAACTTATCGCATGATTTCAATTATTTTTAATACAATTTTAATCAAATTCCTTAAAAAATGTAATTTTTGTTAAAATTTTATTAAAATGTGTCAAAAGAATTTAATTTTCAAAAACATTAAATTATTTAATAAATTAATTATTTTTGTATTTAAATAATTGAATTCTCTTAGAATTTTGTAATAAAAATTGAATTAAAAATTAATTTCAGGTAATATTTTAGATAATCGTTGAATATAAAAAGCATTGTAGGATGAATTTTTATAAATAATTGAATTTTGAAAAGGTTTAAAATTAAATTCTTTGAAAATCTGAATTTTTCATGCATTTAACTAATAATTCTGTAGAATTAACTTTTTTGAAAAAGTTTAATTGAACTTTTGTTGAAATAACTTGAAGTTTTTATTATTTAATATATATTTAATTGAAGAATTTCCGAATAATCGAAATTTTGTTTAATTGAATTGTAAACAAATAGATTTGAAAATTCTCAAAGAACTTTTTAGAAAATTATTGAAAATAATTGATTTAAAGAAGAATTTGAGTAAAGAATTCTAGAAAATAATAACTGAATTGAACAGATGAATATAATTTTGAAGAAATTGCAATAATAATATTGTTCTAATATAAAGTAATTATTTTATCACTTGGTCATCTTTAATTATTATAAATTAATTCATTAATTAAATTCATTAATTTTTGTATTTATTCTTTATTTTCTAGGTACTTAATATTTTATACTCCTTTCGATATCGGATATAAAATTGCCAAATTTTTGCCAGTGAAAATAATTTGTTCCGCTATGAAAGAAATATATAGGTATGTAAAAACAATATTAAAGTTATTTTCTTTTTAAGTAAACGATTTTACTAAACAAATAACACTATCTTACTGAACAATCACAATTGTAATTTTTTCAGGTGTAAAAAAGTTTACGATGGTGTATCTCACGCTGGAAAATTATATCCAAACGCATATTTAATAATGATTCTCATTGGAACGCTCAAAGGTTTGACAAACATTAAAATTTGAAAAAAAATTTGTAAACGAAATAAATAAAAATTATATTTTTTCCCACAGGAAATGCTGCTGGTTTCATCAAGTTATTTGAGCGACTTATTCGAGGAGTTTGGACTCCAACCGCTATGGAATTCATGCAACCAAGCTTGTAAGTTTTTACTGCAATAATTAAAAAATTTTATTCTTTTCATTTGAAAAATAATTCATGAACTTGTTTTTCAGCCCTACGAAAGCATCGGTGGTTGCCTCCATTATTTTCGTTTTAGATAAAAAGACTGACCTTATCTCTGCACCTCATGCATTAGTGTACTTTGGAATTGTTATCTTCTTTGTCTACTTTAAGGTAATTAAATTCTTTTTCCTGTCAAAGTAGTTATAGTTCGAGATTTTCAAAGTTGAGTAAAAAATTCAAAATATAGTCTATTACTATTTTACTAATTTGCTTTTAAACGTTTTGATTTCTTCTTCTTTTTTTAATTGTCAGTTGTCATGAATTTTATTTGGAATACTATTTCTATAGAAATAGTAATTCTATCGTAAAAATTCACTATTTTGTTATTTTGTTATTACTATTTTAATAATATGTTATTAAACTTTTTGATGTTTTAATTTTCAGTTGTCATCAATTTTATTGGGAATTCACGATCCATTCGTACCTTTCGAAAATTTGTGCTGCGCCCTCTTCCTTGGAGGAATTTGGGATTCGTTAGCAAAACTATTCGGTCGTGGCCAAGCCAAAGATGAAAAAGCAGATCCCAAGAAAACTAATTAATGTGGTACGTATTTCTTACAAAAAAAAATTTTTAATCTTAAATATTTATCTTAATTCTTCAAAATAACAAACTTTTAGATAAAAAAATCAGTTATTAAGTTTACAAACTTGAATTCTAGAGCGACAACATTTTACCAAAATGTCTCAACAGAAAAAAATCTGAAAACTAAATCTAGTCATCTACCTAAAGTGCAATAATTTGTATATAAAAACGATTCTATCACAAGATGAAAACAACAAAAGGGGTTTAAGCAATAATAAATTATTGCTAGCATAATAAAATAGTATTACACCCATCGATCTTGCATAATATTATATACAATATAATATATATTGTATATATTTATATACAATAATCTACATTATTTCATAATATTGTAAAATACTAAAAAGAAAAGGAAACAATTAAGTACCAAAGTATTCTATATAAATTTATAATGAAAAAAAAATCTCTTGCCCTGTCAAACTTTTATCAAATTTGCTAATCAACAATATTACAATATACAATTTTAATATTTTATACAAAATATACTAGCTATACGTCACAAATTAAATATATATATATATATTTAATCAGCAATCAGGGTGTTGAAAGTTGCTTAAAACACGATAGGTGTGTTTTTGTACCTCGTTTGTATTAAAAGTTTGATGAGCAATTGAAATTACATAAATTTTTCGAAATGTGCAATCATTTTAAATAGAAAAATTGTATGAAATGGTATATTTATTGACTGACATTGTGCAATCGCTAAAAAAAAAGTATTATTGACATAATTGTATTTTAAAAGAAATTTTTTAAGTATTGATAAATTTTAGCGTTCTGCATATACTGTAATACTAACTACAGATTATATTTATAAAGACGAATGAAAGGATATTCATATTCATCTGCAAATAATGTAGAATTGTTTGTAATTTTTTTTTAAGTGTGTGATTAATTCTTAACTATCAAGTGTTCATTTTACAATTGACAAAGAAATTTGTTAATTCAAAAAAAGTAATCGCAATTTTAATTTTAATTTTTATGGAAATGTTAATTTTAAGTGCTTTTTAAATGATAAGATGAATTTTTAAATCTTCCTGACATCTTCCAAAAGATTAACCTGGTATTTTTCAGTGTTTTCCAAGTTTGGTGAACTGATGAGTAATTTTATAAAGAGAACATAGTAGGAAAAAATATTTACTAATTAATGTTCATTCTGTTCATCTTCCTTTTTATTGTATATATAAATACATTGTTTTAAATTTTTTTTATCACAACCTGTTGAGTAATAAGCATGTTTGTTATGTTATGATTCAACTGGTTAATTCTTGGCCTTTTTTTAAGTATTTGCTATGTTGAAATTATATTATTATTATTATAATTTAGTGTTCTATTTATAAGAAATTAAAATTTACTTTTGTAAAAGTAAAGAAGAATGTTGAATTCACCAAATTATCCTATAGTGTCCATTATTTTTGTGATATTAATAAATCTTTATGAAAATGTAAACATGGAAGCAAATGAAAATTACTCCTTTCGCCTTCTAAGGATAATAATTGTAGTTTGAATAATGGGAAAATTTTTTTGCTTATATTATTTATATAAATATTAAATTGAATCGCAAACTTCGGATAGTTTGACTTTTTTCGACTATTTTCAGAAAATATGCGACTTTTTTTTACTATTCTGACGAATATTTTAACAAAATACTAATTTTTTTGTATAGAATGCAAATTACTTCGATTGTAAAAAACAACTGTAGTCAAATAATCAAAAACTTATTTTTGATTCATTTTTCTATTTTTCTTTCTTTCTAAATTTACGACGGTTACGTTCACAACGTTTATAATCAAGGATTTGAATTGAAAAAAATATTTTTTACACGAAAAACAATAAAATTTTTCTTTTTAGAATAATTGATAAAAAAAATGTGTAAAAATTTTCTCATGGGAAAATTATAAAAATTTGTGTATAAAAAATTTGTTTTCTCCTAATTTGTCTATCATAAATGTTGTGAACTTTCGACAATTTTTTAAAATTCAATTTATTATTTTAAATATTTTCAATTTACATATTTCTGAAAATTCAAATATCGACAAAAAAATTATTACCCTAAAATTGTTTTAAAAATCTAATTCTTTTCTAGAATTATTATTAAAATTTTGAAGAAAACAATTATTTTCAAAATTTTTAATTACAATTTTTTAAAAACTTTCGAATTTTTAAAATAATTTCAAAAAATTTTTTAAAAAATTCAGTTATTGGCAAAAAATTTTACTAAATTTCAATTATTTGGAAATTTTTGAATTATATTTAATTAAAAAATATGTTAGAAAATGTATTTTTCGAAAATTATTTTTAATTATTTTTTAAAAAACTAATTTGAAAAATTCCTTTAATGATACTTCGTTAAATTTAATGTTTTCATTATTTTTGGTTGTATACTTTCAATAATTCACCTTTATAACTTCAAAAAATCATCAGCCATTGCAATTATAATTATTATAAAAAATTGAACTTTTGTATTTAAATAACTGAATTGTCAACAAATTTTCGGAAAATTATTAAAAATAATTGATTTAGAAGAGAAATTTAGTTACAGAAATTCTAAAAAAATAGTTAAATTTTTAAAGAATTGCAGTTTTAAATAGAAAAAATAAAATTTCAGATTTTTTGAAATTAAAATTTCAACAATTTCAATTCCTGTTGAAAAATAAATAACCAGTATTTAAATATTTTTATATAACAAAATTATTTAATTTCCGAATAATAGAATTTAAAAATCATTAAAAAGTCAATCCGAGGACTGGAATTATGAAATTCAAAATTAATTCAACTCTGAAAATCGTAAGAGTCATTTTCCAGAAAATTAAAAAAATTATTTTATTAAAATTTGAAACTATATTTAATTATATATTTTTGTTTATTTTAATTGTTAATTTATTTATATAACAAAACTTTGACTTTAGACACAAACGACAATAAAAATTTTTATTTTTCCTTTTTTTCTAATCGAAGAAATCGCTGTAGAATATCTGAAAAGAAAGAATTTATCAATTTTACAAATTTTTTGTAACTTATTTAAAATAATAAATTCACCTTTCTGTTTTCTTCGTTTCGAACTCTTTGATTTTCCACAAATTTGCTATCCGGCAATTTTTTTCTAATTTTCAAATTATTTTTATCTGTTTTTTTGATTTTACTCAAATCTTTAATTGGAACTAAACAATTTTCTTGACAATTTTTCAAATCTTTTCCAAACACTTGAAATTGAGTATTATCATTAAAACAAACTCGTCTAAATTCTTTTCTCCTAAAATCATCACTTTCAGAAGTGGAATATTCTGATGTTTGTGATTGTATTTTTCCTTTTTGTCGATCACTCGATGAAATTACTCGAACTAAAATAGGTTCTCGACATTGATTCGTAGTTGTCATTTTTGTTCTATTCGTATTTTTTGTTAAACTTTTTTTCGTTAATCGTGATTGCGTTGCAGCATTGTGACGAGATTTTGTTTTTTCGACTGTATTTGTTCCTGTTTCTTTGGAGTGTGTTAAATAATCGGTATTGGTTCCTTCACTTTCAAGTAGAGTTTGAATTATTTCAACCGGAATTTCCTCGACGAATGTATTCATACTTCGAGATACGATTGGCCTTTTATCTGTTTCTGTTTGTTTTTCGACTCCAATATTTTTCTGAATTGGATTTATATTTTGAGGCTTTGTAATTTTTATTCTAGCCTCTTTTTCAGTTGTTATATTTTTAGATGTTTTACTCGTTTCACTTTTGTCTTTACTTTCCAAATTTGACGTTTTACTGTTAGTCTTCTTTGAAATTTCACCATCTGACATTTTTTTTGCACACATGCAAAACTTTTTGATTATTTTACCCTCATTTTTCGACTCGAATCTCGTAGCTAAAATATTGAAAAATAAAAAATATTTTCTTATTTTCTCCTATTAAAAAGAATTTTAAAAAATATATGGAAAATTCTGTTGTAATTAAAAATTTATAAAAGGTTTTCAAATAATTCTACTCTTGTAGAATTCTACATTCCGCTCTTGTTTTGTAGTGATAAATTATCATTGATATTAAAATACGAACTATTATTATTTTCCAGCTTGGAACTCAGTTCAAGAGCATATTTCAAAATGTAGAAAAACTTTTTATTTGTATCGTCGGTTTTATCCAATTTTTCTTGTAGACAAGGAAAACAATCTGATTTCGACAGCTTTTTGTTGAAAAGTTTTTCAAAACACATTTTTAAATCCTCGTCAACAACTTGATTGCTCCTGCAAGCTCTGCACCGTCTTTTCTTGTCATTTCTTTCAGAACTTTTTGTCTTCATTGTAGTTTGTGAATCGAAAATTTCCTGTGTTACAGTTTCTAAAAGAGAAAAGAGTAAAAAATTGAAAGAAATTTTTAGTTTTGGAATAACAAAGTTGGAAAAATTCATCGAGTTCTTGTATTTCTGTTTCTATAAAGAAAAAAACAAAACAGAGTTGCTACCAAAATTTAGTTTTGCTTTCCCTGAATTCCCTGAGCAATTTTAGTAAAAGAAAGGAAAAAAGTGTAAAATTTACCTTCAGATTCACTTCTCAGCCCATCACGTTCTAATAATTCAGGATTAGTTGTCATTGTATTAGAATCAACCAAATTCGATTCTTGAGTTGTAACAGAGCCTTCAGTGCAAATCGAAAAAGATTCATCTGCAAAATAGATTCTATAAGTAGAAAAATTAATTTTATACAGCTTCATCAATTTTTATACCTTATTAATTTTACATTTAATGCATTTTTAATTTTTTTACCTTCGTAATTAGGATTTGCACCAGGACACGGTGAAAAATTTTCATCAGTAAAAATTTCTTGTGCTAATTTCACACATTTTCCTCCAGGCATGAGAAGAAAATAATCATCTGTCTGATCGCAAGAAACGCTTACTGTAGTTTTTGGAATATTAATATTCAGATCTCCATCAGCAATTTCAGTTGGTCTGGATTGAGTCAAAATTCCTTCGCATTGAGTTTCCTTCGAAGAATAAGTTGCCACATCCGTAGAAATTGCTTGCTGCTTTATCTCCAAAGCAGTTTGAGTTTCTTGATTTGCAGCATCATTCATCACTCTTTGCTTATTTTGACTTCTCTCGTAGCATTGAATACTAATTTTAAACGGAGAGTAAGCATCGAATTCACAATTTTCAATAAATTTAGTTTCTAATCTTTGGGAACTTTTTACCATTCTCTGATCATCATAATTTTTATTAGTATTTTCATTAGCATTTTTATTAGTATTTTCATTAACATTTTCTTTAGTATTTTTATTATAATTTTCATAAGAATCGGGAAATATTTCTTTATCGTATTTCATTGGGGAATCATCTCTACTTCTTCCACCGAATAATTTATTTAAATTCTCATATTTTTCTGGATGAGATTCTTCTTGATATAAATCCAAATTTTTATTTGTACAAACAATTCTTTCAATGGTGGGGAAATTGTCAATTTTCCTTGGATTTTTTTCTTCACTTGAATAGAATTTTTCAACAGTTTTCGAACTGTAAGGACAATTCACATATTTTGTTCGATATCTATATTGTTGATCATTTTTTTGTTTAAGGTCATTGTAATTTAAATCCATATTATTTGTTTTAGTTTTTGATTTAGTAAAACAATTCGAATAGGAATTCATGTTTCTCGAAGGTTTATAATTGACTGCATAATGAAAATTTTCCGAATTCTTGCAGCACGGTGAACATTCTGCTGATTTTAGTTCACATCTCGAAATATCTTTTCTTTTTTTTAATTCCCTTACACCAAATGATTGCTGTGAAAGAGTATTCTGATCTAAATAACAATAACAAAAGGTAATAATAATAATAATTGAAAAAATAATAATTTGATTTGTCAAATATTTATTGATAGAAAAAAGGCAATTTTACTTTTGCTTTTTGTAGACTCCTTCCCCTCATTGGACGATTTCAATGAATTTACTTCAAAATTTGGCCATTGTACACAACTTGTGTATTTATCAGTCATTATTTTTTTTTTCGATCTCTTTCTCAGGCGTTTAATTTCTTCAGGAACTGCAATTTTTCTTACAATCCTGTGACCACATGAATTGTATGTGACTTGTGTTGTTGGCGACAAACTATTGGATTTTTTCTTTTTTCTATTTGTCTGCAACTTTTTTTTCTTATTTGGTGCAGAATTTGAGGAAATTGTAACTTTACATTTATCTCTTCTCTTATTATCACTGATAATTTTTGTTAACATATCTTGCACTAATAAATACCACAAAAATTTTGATTTGTAAAATTTTCCCACATACAAGCCATGAAGAATTTTTTATTGCTCTTGATTTTATGTCTGAGTATTTTTGGTATTTTCAAAAAGTATTCTGATAAATAAAGAAAGATTATTAAAATTAGATTTTTAAAGGTTTTTTGGAGCATTTTATTTTTTTTGTTATTGTTGCTATTTGTTGTTGACACTTTGATTTTAAAATAAATTTTAATAATAATTACTTTATCGTAGTTTCAGAATTTTAAAAGTAATTCTTACAACTTGTCTTTTTATGCAGGAATTCCAATACTGAGTACAATTTTCATTACAAAAACAATCATGTTTTTTTATTCTTGTAAAAATTTTAAAGTCGTATTTTTACTCCAATTTAATGACATTTCTGATTTTCAATTTCAAAATCATATTTTTTGAATTTTATTAATTTTTTTTCAAAAAAAACCTAGTTAGCAATCAAAAGAAAATGTGAGTTAGTTTATTAATTTTTATCTTTTGCCTTGACATGGTTAGAAAATTTTGCATGAATGTTGCCGAAGTAATTAAAACAAAAAACGAGACAAGGTTTTTTTTACAAAGTTTCTGATTTCTCTTTATTTTTTTATTAAGAGCATTTGTTTCACATTAAGTGTAACGAATAACTTGAATGAATGTTTTTATTCATCTTGCATCTATTGTAATTAACTTTTGATCATTTTACACCTTGAAATTAAATTTTGATGATTTTTATGAATTGACTTAAAAAACATGAATACAGAAACCGATAAATTTAACATTTACGATAATGATATGAAATTTGCTAAAAGGTAAGTTTCCTGGAGCAAATGTCATGTAAACAATTAAATTTAAAAAGCAAACAATTTTTTCAAAGAAATTTTTTTACAAAACATTTTTACAAAACATTTTTACAGAAATGTCCCTAATGAAAGAAATAATAAAAATGTAACGATGAGAGAATATTCTCGTTTCATGGCTTCCTTGATCTGCCAATCTAATCAAATTGAAAACGATTTTAAAGAAATTCTGAAGCAGAATAAAATTTCATCAGAGGAATTAGAAAAAATCCAATCATCTTGCGAGTAAGATACAATTTTTCCCAATAAACTTTACTATTTTTAAATTTTCATATTTTCTTAATTTTATTTGAGAACTTTTGTTTCACAATAATTTGTTTTCCTTATTAGGTACTTCTTAGATTATATAACAAAATGTCAGTCTTGATCAATGATTGGAACAATTTCCTTCTCCATTGGCAAGAACGAACATTCTTGGAGTGCAAAAATTGGCAATGAAAATCAAAAGCGAAATTCAAGTCCAATCATATAAAAAGAATTTTTTAAAAATTAAATTTTGAAAAAATATTTTATAAACACTTATTTTTAATAAAGAAAAAAATATTAATTTCGTATAAATCAATTGCTATTAGTTGATGACTTTTAGTTCTCTTCCAATTTCTATGAATGCATCAACTGCTCTGTTAATTTCCTCTTTTGAATGAGCTGCACTTATTTGAACGCGAATTCTCGCTTTTTCTTTGGGAACAACCGGATAACTGAAGCCAATAACGTAAATATTCTTTTCTGTAAGGAAAAAAATTTTATCAACGGAAATATTTTGTATAATTTATCAATTTGTTTAATTTTTTATTTATAAATTTGTTTAATTTTTAATTTATAAATTTATTTAATTTTTAATTAATGAATTAATTAATTTAATTTTTGAAGAAACGTATTAAAAACTTACCCAACATTCTATCGGCGAATTCCGAAGCTAATTTCGCATCTCCAAGCATGACGGGACAAATAGGATGATTATCGCCACTAATTCTAAATCCAGCAGATGTCATCCTGCTTCTAAATAATTCAGTATTTTCCGTAATTTGGTCGAGAAATTCAGTGCTATCCGAAATGAGATCAATCACCTGAAAGTTATTTTAATAAAAAAATCAATACAATGAAAAACCTCATAACTTTGAAAGTATAATTTTCCTTTATTTACTTGAATTCCTGAGGCAACAACTGGTGGTGGCAATGAATTGGAGAATAAATAGGGTCGACTGCGTTGTCTTAATAAATCAATTACTTCCTTACATCCTGTTGTATAACCACCAGCAGCTCCTCCTAAAGCTTTCCCTAAAGTTGAATTGATTATATCGATTCCGCCCACATTATTAAAGTACTCTTCAGTTCCCCTAAAAAAGTAAACACATTTATTCTTCCGCAGTTATTACCAGAATTATTAGATAAAAAAAATCCATTTCTATTATATGAGTGAAAATGAATGAAAATAAAAGGAAAATTACGAAACAAAAAAGTTGATAAATTGAAATAGTTTCAAATAATTTCTTCCTCATAGGGGAATAATTACGTTTCTAAAAATAATAATTTTCAAAAACTCGGAAAAATCAAACATTAAATTTCAAGACAAGTATATTTTTATTTATTTATTTTTTTTTGTTGTGTTAATTATTTTTTCACTCACCGACCAGTCTTTCCGAAGAAACCAGTTGCATGACAATCATCAACAAAAGTCAAAGCGTTATATTTCTTTGCCAGGTCTATTATGTCTTTCAATGGAGCAACTGTACCGTCCATTGAAAAAACGCCGTCAGTTACAATTAATTTCAAACGAGACGTTGCATTTTCCTTGAGTTTTTCCTCCAAATCGTTCATATCTCTGTGTTTGTATCTGAATTTTTTGGCTTTGCAGAGACGAATTCCGTCAATAATTGATGCATGATTTAATTCATCGCTAATTACAGTATCTTCGGGTGTTAGGAGGGTTTCAAAAATTCCTGCATTTGCATCGAAGCAAGAGGCATAAACAATTGTGTCTTCTCTTTTATGAAATGCCGTAATTTTGCTTTCCAATTCCTTATGAATTCTCTGGGTGCCACAAATAAATCTCACTGAACTCAGTCCTGCTCCATATTCGTCCAGAGCTCTTTTTGCCGCTTCAATCACTTTAGGATGATCCTAAAATTAATAAAATAAATAAAATTAATATTTTATTTTTCAGATTACTTTAAAATAATCAATAATATGATACATTTGTAGATTTCGAAACGTTGCAGTAACATTAAAGAATCTTTGACTAAATGTCTTCGTTATTGTCTTAAATGATAAATTATTATTAATTAACTAGCAACTTGATATTCAATTTATTACTGTTATGTAAATTCCAAAATTTTTTATTTTCAAATACTTTTTAAGTACAAAATTAATTATTATTGTTTATATTTTCAAAACTTTTAATTTAATTTTTCCCAAAAATGCAATTATTTTTAAGAAAATTTTAATAAAATTTCACCAAAGAATTGAATTATTTTCTAAAATTTTTAAACATCCTTCTAAACAATTCAATTATTTTTATTAATAGTAACAATTATTGCAGGAAATCAATTATTTTTAATAAAATTTCTCGAAAGAATTTAATTTTTTTCATAATTCGTTATAAAATTTTTCAAAGAATTCAATTATTTTCTAAAATTTTAATCAATTATTTTCTAAAATTTTAATAAATCCTTCGAAACAATTCAATTATTTTTATAAACAGTAAAATCTTTGTACAAATTCAATTATTTTCTAAAATCTTAATAAATCCTTCGAAACAATTCAATTATTTATATAAATAGTAAAATTCTTCGCATGAATTAAATTATTTTTTTATAAATATTAAAATTCTTTGTAGGAAATCAATTATTTTCAAAACAATTTTAATTTAATTCATTGGAAGAATTCAAATATTTTTAAATATTTCCATAAAATTCAATTATTTCCTAAAATTTTAATAAATTCTTCGCAAGAATTCAATTATTTTTATAAATATTAAAATTCTTTGCAGGAAATCAGTTATTTTCAAAACAATTTTAATTGAATTCCTCGGAAGAATTCAAATATTTTTAAATATTTCCATAAAATTCAATTATTTCCTAAAATTTTAATAAATTCTTCGCAATAGTTCAATTATTTTTATAAATAGTAAAATTCTTTGCAGAAATTCAATTATTTTCAAAACAATTTTAATTGAAAGAATTCCTTGAAAGAATTTAATTATTTTCAAATATTTACATAAAATTCATTTATTTCCTAAAATTTTAATAAATTCTTCGAAACAATTCAATTATGTTTTAAATAGTGAAATTCTTCGCCAGAATTCAATTATTTTCATAAATAAAAAAGTTCTTCGAAGGAATTTAATTATTCTCTTCAAATTTTTTTATAAGATTCTTTGTGAAGAATTCAATGATTTTTAATATATTAATTTTAAAATTGAAAATATTTAAAAAGAAAAATTTAAAAGAAATAGTTATTATAAATTATTATTAATTAGGTATTATTACGATAAATTAATTAATATTACAATAAATATTATTGAAATATTTCATCAATTTATTTTTGTAACTCACGGATAATCCTAAATAGTTGTTGGCACAGAAATTGAGAACTTTTTTCCCGCTCATCAATGAAATTTGCGTTCGTTGAGGTGAAGCTATTATTCTTTCTGACTTCCATGTTCCAGCTTTCTTGATTGCTTCTAATTGTGGTTGGATAATTAATTTCAAAGCACTCGAATGTTGATGTTTCGAGCCATTTGTCGAGAAACCCGGCGTAATTCCTGCCAAGTATTCAGAGAAATTAAATAGTTGAATTTTTTTTTAATTTGTTTAATAATTTTTAATATTTTTATTACTTACGTTTTAATAGAATCCGACTCATTTTTCTATAATTTATAATAAATGTAACTTGACCAAACGTCAATGGTTTAATGAAAGGACTCGAGAAGAGTAGTCAGATGAAGAAAAGTAGACAAAAATAAATCTCAAAAACTGGTCTAACTGGTTTTTCTATGAATGCATCTATGTATAAAACTATAAAGTGAAAGCATTCATCATTTCGAGATCGAATTCATAAAATTTAGATATTTGCTTTGTTGACTCAAGTTTAATTTAATCAAAAAATAGTTCTTTTAAATAAACAATAAAAAATTTAATTAAATTAACAATAAAGAATATTGTAACAATAAAATAAAAAACTTATTTTATTGTTTATTTATTGTTAATTTAAGCAAACTATTTTTCGTTTAAATTAAATTTGAGTCAATAAAGCTTTCTAGAAATACTTCTAGAAATATTTTGACGTATTTATTAATTAAAATAAATCTGGACAAGGCAAGAATTAATTCCTGAAAAAGTATAATTTATGATTAAATTTATATTTATTGTATAGTACATATTTAATCATCAATTTTTATATTTAATAACTTTTACGCGCATAATTTCCAATAAAAAAATGGATTGGTAAATCTCGATATTACCCCCATTCTTTTCGAAGTACATTACGTTTTTATAAAAAAAATCTATTTCGTGGAATGCATTACATTTAATCGAAGAATATCACGCACGGAAAGGTAATATAATTATCTATTTTTTTACACAAGAAATAAATGATATTATTCACAATGGTTGCATTATCTCTCACTCAATTCACTATTTTCTAGTTGCTTTATTCGCATCAATAGAAGAATTTAAATAAAATTCTATTTAAAAACAATGTCTTGGTATTTCACTTATTCTTCTACATTATTTTAAGCAAGTCATAGGTTCAAAAAAATATCTAAACAAATTTTTAAAATATTGTTTAAATATCTAAAGAAAGTTTTAAAATATATTTTAAATATCTAAAGAAATTTTTAAAATATTTTTTAAATCTATGACTACGAAAATCGAAAACTTGAAATTCTTAAATTCTTGGTAATTTAAATAGATTGAAAAACGAATTATAAAGAAGAAATAATTAATTTACTTGATTGTCTAGTTAGAAAGATGAAAGAATTATAGCGCCTATAGTTTCAGCATATAATTACTAGTCGATTCTAAATTAAAAACTTTGTTCATTAAATATTTTAATAAGACTAGCAAAATTGGACTTCACGCATTATATAAAAGAAAAAAAATGCCTGTACTCCTTTAATTTACAAATTAAGTATTACGTACATACAATGAATACAGATAAAAAAAAGTCTCTAATTTTCAATATCAGTTCAAAATTTTCAGGAAAATAGTATTCCGCATAAATTTATGAGACCTTATTCTTGACGAAGAGCCTAATTGCTAAGGAGTAAAGGCGTGGGAAATTATGTACAGCCAGGTACACAATTCCTAAGTACAAAACTATAGCAATCGTTAGAAATAGATCGAACACTGCTGGTTTTACACTGTGAAAAAGATAAAATTATTATTAAAAGTAATACAAATATTTAGAATATAAATATTCTAAATATTATTTAAGATTTGATTTGTTGAAAAAAATTGTAAATTACCTGTATACATTTAATGTAGCTTTAGTGACATCGTACAAAACGAATTCAGGATCACGTTTTTCGGGACTGTGAAGCGTAACTTTAACATCGCCCAAATATCGCATCATTATTTCCTTAAGTGAACTAACTAAAGAATTTTGTTTATCCGCTAATAAAACAGCTGCTCTCGGTTGGGCGGATAAATACTCTAACCACATTGAAAGAGAATCTTTGGAAACACTCTGAAAGAAAATTTATATTTTAATTTCAAGAAATAGGAAAAATATTTTCTATACTTTTCGTTTCGTTATTAACGTACCAATGGTTCTGCGAAAATTTGACCAGAACTCAAATTGTAGATATGCCTTGCTAACGCTTCCGCTACAACTGTTGTATGCTCATAAAGTCTATCAACTTGTTCATTTTCAACAGTATCTAAAAATGTCCTTCTCATGGGATCTTCGTGACTTTTTAACGTCGAAAGAGTGGCGGCAGGTAATCTTCGAATACTGTATCTTTCGTGTTCCCAAGCCAGCATCTCTTCGGCTAAATTAATTTTCTTATGTACACCTTCAACAGTCGTATAGCCTAAATCGTCGGCAATTGATTTCATTTCTTTGTATAATAATCCACCGGAAGATGTTTCCTTCGGTGGTTTCGAGACATGTACATATAAATTTTTTCCCGTCGAGACAGAATCAAGGCACATTACATACGAAGCGTCCTAAAATTAATAAATTAATTAATCAGGAAATTCAGGGAAAAATTAAATTTTTGTGATAATCTCAAAGAAAGGTTGAGAAAAGTAATAGTTATGTATTAATGAATAAAATATTTACTTGTATAATCGAGCCTTCTAATCCATCCAATTGATCCTCTAACCACTTTTTACTGCCCTGGTAATTTAATTTTCCAGAACCGGTTATTAAAAAAACTAGATTGAATCGCGGTCGTGAGCGACCAATTGAATATAGGGCAGAGAATATTCTCGCCAATTCGAGTAACATTGCTACTCCTGAAGCATTACTTTCGGCCCCAAAAGACAGTTCCTGAAAAATGTATTAATTCCGATTAGTTGATGAAAATATATTTAAAAGATAGAAAATAGAAAAAATACAGACATCACAGTAAAAAAAAGGGGGGATTTTTTTCCTCAAAAAGGGGACAAAAATTTATTTGTTTATACAACTTGCATATATAATTCAAATTTTTTATCAGCTTCTACAAATTTTCTTTAAAAAAGATTCGATTTTAATCAGAGTTGCCACAAAAATTTAAATTAGTTTTTCCCTGACTTTTCCCTGATTTCCAGACAAAATAATATGATTTTTTCCCTAAAGAGTATTCTGCAATTCACTCTAAAAATGATTAGATATTTAAAAAAATATTCTATTACATTTATTTACGAATTTCTTTAACTGTAAAATTATTCGAAAACAACAATAACTTCTTTTTTTAAAAAAATATTTAATCGTTATTGTTCTTCCATAGGAGTTACAATTTTCAAAATATTCAAATTCAAATCTTTTTGAAATTCAACAATTTATGAGAATATTTTATTATATTATAAAACATGAAGAAATCTTCATGATTTCTTCATGTTTTATAAAAATTAATGATGACTGAATGATAAGATCATTATTTTCTACTATAAGACATATTTTTACTGTAAATTCTTCAAAATTAATTCCATCATTTTAATTCAATTATTATTTTCTGGAATTTTTAACCAAAATTCTTCTTTAAATCAATTATTTACACTAATTTAAAAAAAAATTCTGAGAATTTTCAAATTTGTTTACAATTCAATTTTACGAAATTTCATCGATTATTCGAAAATTCTTCAATTAATATAAGAAAATAAAAATTGGAATAATTTCAATTATACTTTTTGAAAAAAATTAATTCTACAGAATTGTTAGTTAAAAATATGAAAAAAAGATTTTTAAAGATTTCAATTTGAAACTTTTTCAAAATTCAATTATTTCTAAAAATAAAAAATAAATAAAACAATAAGTAAAAAAAAATTAAATTAACATGTAAAATTTTAACTCAAATTCACTTTTAAATAAATTTCTATTAAAAAATTCTACGAGAATTCAATTATTCAAATGCAAAAATTAATAATTTATTAAATAATTGAATGTTTCTCAATATTGAATTCTCAGAAAGAATTTTATCAACAAACTTTTAAATAATTAAATTCTTTCGACGAATGTGAATAAAATTTTTAACAATAATTATATTTTTCGTGGTATTCGATTAAAATTGTACTAAAAATAGTTGAAATTCTGCGATGAGTTTGATTATTTATGAAAATAATTGAATTATTGCGAAGAATTTTATAAAAGCGTTTCAAAGAATTGATTTTTTTTTTAATTTATGCAAATTCTATTTTAAATAATTGAATTTCTGTGAAATTTTCATTATTTTGGAAAATAATTGAATATTCGTGTAGATCTTTGTTAAAATTGTTTTTAAGTAATTAAATTCTTTTCGGAAATTTTATTAAAATAATAGATACATATATAAATTGAATTAAGAAAAATTTTTTTAAATAAATGAAATTTTACAATGAATTTTATTAAAATTTCTGAAAATAATTGAATTTGACTACTTTTCAAAATAATTGAATTCTTGTGATGAATATTGTTATTTATGAAAACAATTGAATTCTTGTGAAATTGTTATTTGTTTAGAAAATAATTGAATGTTAGTGTAGAATATTATCAAATTTTTTGTTTAATAATTGAATTCTTTTAGAAAATTTTAATAAAATAGAAGAATATTGGAACTCATTGAATTTAGGACATTTTTTGCAAATAATTGAAATTTTGCCAAGAATTTTATTAAAATTTTTGAAATTAATTGAATTTCGAAGAAGAATTTTATTATTTATAAAGAGAATTGAAATTTTGAACAGGTAATTTCTTTAAGTTTTTTAATATAATTGAATTTCTGCGAAGAATTTAATTACTTTTGAAAATAATTGAATTTTTGCATTCATTTGAAACTTCTCCAAAATTCAAATTTTTTTTAGTACCTTTAACTAAAATTTCTCGTTAATTTCTTTATTTTTAATAATTAATTAAATATACCTATTAAAAAATTTAACTAATTTCAGATTAATTTAAATTTTGGAAATTTTTATTGCAAAAATTTAAGTTATTTAGAATTTCTAATGAAATTTATTTAGAATTTTTGTTTTTTTTTAGAAAAAAATATTTTAATTATTGATTACACTTTGAAAAAGATTTCAAAAAAAGAAAAACTTTATTTTTGATTAGAAAAAGGGGACAAATCAGCAAATAAAAAGAGAAAAAGGTGAAAAAGATTGTAAAATTGAAATAAGTACAAAAGGGGAAAAGGGAGCCAACTGTGATGCCTGAAAATAGTTTAAAAAAAGACTGGAATTCTAAATTCTTACCGGTGCGGCACCCGTACTGTCGTAATGAGCGACTAGAGCTATAATAGGCAATTTTTCCTCGGCACCTGTGCCAGTCAATTTGCCTTGTAATGTGGCTACTTTGACATCGTTCTTAGCAGTTGCTTGGCTCGTGGCAACCACTACTTGGTAGCCACTGGCAGAAATAGAATTCACAATTGCCTCTGCAGCCGAGCCTGCCTTCTCATCGGTAATAAATCCACCGTCAATATCGTCCAATACCTCTTGGAGATACGGACTCCAGTGCGCGAAATACACTGGAATTGGAGTCACAGGACCGTACAACATGGACTCTTCTAATGCCAATACATGCTACAAGAAAATTATTCTTTTTAACACAGAAGACAAAAATACGTCAGGCATAAAAATCTACCTGATTAATAACTAAAAAATATACTCTTTTATCTGGTAATTTATAAGCTTAACCTTAATTTCTATTCACAAACAACTAAATAGATAAAGAAACTTATTCCAAACTTATTCTACCTGTTTTTGTTCCTCAGTGAGACTCTCCATTTTTTCAGGAAGAACAATTATCAATGCACCAGCTTTTTCTCTGATATCTTGAAATGAATCCTGATGGAGACTTAGAATACTTGTGACAACACAATGTCTCGATGTACTCCATCCTGTCAGTGATCTTGCTTCTAAAGAAATGGGAGCACTGCGACATCCTAAAAGTGATAGAAGAATTTTACTTTAAAAAAATGAAACACAACAATTGCAAGTATTGAGGTTAGAATATTATTCGATAAGAGAAAATAAATAAATAAAGTTATTTTTACCATGAGGTACACCGTGCAAGTCCCACTGGTGCATTCGAAAAACGGGAAATTCGTGAGAGGCTGCCACGGGGTTGGCCGGTGAAATTATAATAAAAATTGGTAAAACTATTAATAAATAATATGGAAGATAACCCCGGCATAGTTCCGCAAAACTGTCACATTCTTCCAACCACATATTTCTATTATTTTTGTGTCAAAAAATTACAAAAAAAAATTACTACAATTGAGAATATTTAGTTAGGAATATATCAATAAAGATCACGAGTCTCTTCACTGTCCTAAACTGCTGACAGTGCTCAATGCAATTCATGGCATGCTGTTCAACACTGGTTAATTATGTTTAAATTATGACGTCATCTAAAAATGGATACTTGTTGGAGGGCCCAGGATAATTAGAATTAAAATGTTAAAAAAACTCTTTCTAAAAAATAGTTTTTTAACTTTAATTACTTTACTACTAGCTAATTTTAGTTAATTAGCGACTCAGCTTTCACTTTTAGAAGAATAGAAAATATAATAAATAAAATTTGTCTTCCATCAAGAGTCCATATTGAAACGTCACAATTGGTCACAAATTATACGAAATGAGCAGCAAATCATCGATGTATTTCGATTAATTGAGAAAAAACATGGCCGCCAGACAATACGAAAATTGCTAACTTCAGGATTGTCAAAGAAGCGTTGCTTTTGAGGTTATCTCAAGAATCATAAGCGAGTCGTTCATTGAATTATACCGGTTTAATTTTATAAAATAGATAAAATCAAGTATTACAATGAAGCTAGTAAGGTAAACAATTGCTCAATTTATTAATGTTGATTGTAAATTAATGTGAAACAAAGTATTTAGTAAGAAAAATGAATTTATTTTGAAATTACGTAGACTTAACCTTCAAAACACAACAGCGACAATCGCGTGTAAACGTTGTTCAATTTTGTAATTTGTCAATTATTCACTTTATATTGCAGGTTTTTAATGAAACTCAGTCACGAGACGGTTACAATTGAATTGAAAAATGGTACACAAGTTCATGGAACGATCACAGGTATGTTTATTTATGATTTTTTAGGGGATGGAAATTGACAAACGTTTGTTTTTCGAACATGAATTTTCAAAGCTTGGGTAATGGTGTAATTATACATTTGTATTAATCAAAATATTTAGTTATACAGGGTTGCTATGCAGCCTGGAAACTTGGAAAATCTGGAAATGTCAGGAAATTTTATAAACCTTGAAAAGTCGGAATTTTGATCAAAATCCGGGAAAATTGTTGTTTTCTAAAGTTATTGTGTTTATTTTTGAAATCTAATTTCACTTAAATAATTCAAAATTAATTCAATTTTCAAAGAATTGCGTTTACAATTTTTATAAGTAGATGAACTTCAAAAGATTTTGATTTAAAGTTTTGTAAAATTTCAATTTTCAATGAATTTAATTAGAAATATAGAAAAACTTAGATTTAAAAAAAATTTTAAACTAAAATTCTTCTGAAATTAGTTAAATTTTTTAATATAAATTTAACTATTTTTATTAAAAATAATTGATTTATCGAAGAATTTTAGTTAAAAACAATAAAATAAATTGATTTTTGAAGCAATTAGAAATAATTGCTGAAATTCAATTATTTTCAAATATAAAATTTTTAATTAAATTTCTTTTAAGAATAAAATTATTTTCAAAAAATTTTCATGAAATTCTTCTCAAGAATTCAATTATTTAAAAATTAAAATTCAATTATTTTTAAAACTTCTAATAAAATTCTTAACAAAATTTCAATTATTTTCAAAAGTATTTCTCAATTTACTGATTGTCAATATCTATTATTTTCATAAAATAATAAAAATTTAACAGAAATTCAATTATTTGCAAATTTTTTATAAATTTCTTCGCAATATAATTCAATTATTTTTATAAATAACAATATTTTTACAGACATTCAATTATTTTTTAAAAATAATAAAGTTCTTTTTAGGAATTTAATTATTTTTATAAATAGTAAAACTCATCGCAAAATTTCAATTATTTTTAATACAATTTTCATCAGATTTCTCGAAAAATGCATTAATTCTGAAATATTTATTAAAATTTGTCAAGAGAATTCAATTTATTTAAAAATTTATTGATAAAATTCTTTATGAAAATTCAATTTTAAGAGACATTCAATTTTTTAATAAAATATATTTATTTTTGTACTTAAATAATTGAATTCTCGTATAATTTTTTAATAAATATTGATTTAAAAATGAATTTCAAATTAAAATCTTTGAAAATTTGAACTTTTCATACCTTTTGATTGAGAATCGTAACGATGAAAATAATTTTTGAAGAAGTCACAGTTAAAAAGTTTTATAATAATAATATTCTTATATGTTATTGAATTTCAAATTTTTGAATAACTTAATTTTTATAAAAAAAATAATGATTAAATATTTATTTAAAAAATCATATTTCAATGTTTGGCATTTTTTTGTTCAGGTGTGGACGTAGCAATGAACACACATTTAAAGACAGTAAAAATGACGATAAAAAATAGAGATCCGGTTCAATTGGACACCTTGAGTTTACGAGGAAACAACATTAGGCACTACATTCTACCAGATTCTTTGCCATTAGAAACTCTACTTATTGATGACACACCAAAAGCCAAAGCCAAGAAGAAGGAAGCTGCACGAGGTTTGTATACGTCATTTGGAAATTATTTTCTTTACATTACTGTATTTTTTTTATTAAAAATCTAAATTTAATTCGAATTTTCAGGAGCTGCGAGAGGTCGAGGACGTGGTGGTAGAGGAGCGAGAGGAGGTCGTGGAGGACGAGGTAGGGGTCGAGGCAGACGATAGTATTCATAATCATGATAAGAAAATTCCAATATTGATTAATTCAATATTTCGTTTCAAATTTCTACACATTTTGCAAATTATTTAATATTAAGAACTTACGTTTTTTTACAATCAACTGTTTTCTGTTCATTTAAAAAATGTAAGGAATAATGGCATTTAACGTTTGCAAGTCAAATGCAGCCAATGTAAAGGAATTTAATATACCGCTCGTATAATTATTAAAATTGTAGTTTTTGTATTATTTCATTTAATAAATACAGTCTTATACAAAATAAGAGAAAAAGAAGAAGAAATTTTGTTCAGAAAAAGAAAGTAGCAGAATTCGAAGTCACTGCATCGTGGATAAACGTATTGTGAGTTGGTTTATATTGATTTGTGATAAACTTTATAGTTTCTTGAGCTGCAAGTCCGCCAAGAAATGCAGAAACTGAGTGAAGTTCTGCTCCACCGAAACGACAAAATTCATGAACGTAGTCGTCCTTCGCGAGTGGTCCACATCCCCATTCACCAAGAAGTTTCGATATGCATGCCTAAAATTTAAATTGGCATTTGTAAATAGTATACACGGAAAGAAAAAGTCCGTCAATCATTAATAGACTAGTATATTACTTTGAGACGGGACACAAAATCATTGAATGCATAACATACTTTGAGTCACAATCAGTGACGAGTTGCTTGCTAAAATTTAGAAAACTGTCATCAATATATAAAACTCGTTCACTAAAATTTAGAAAACTGTCTATTAAATTTTCTATGACTATCAAAAGCATTCAAAAAATTCAACTTCTTTCAGAATTATCCCTAATTTTAGACACTATTTGGTACAGAATGAACACATTTTTTTCGTTGCACAGTTCCGATATTTTATTTACACTCTTAGACGCTTTAGACCAACACATTTTCGCACTTATAATAACTACACGTAGAAACGCACACTTATAACATTTTAAGTTTAGAAGCGAACTGTTCTTATATACCAAATAACAAAATTTTTCACAACTTGTGAGAAATGATTTTGCACTAATAACTACTTTTTAATTAGCGAGAAATATAAAAGAAAATATACTTTTATCGAGGTCAATTTCTAGACGCAATTCAACTGCAAATTATTAGTTAAGTTAAATATTCACATTACACATAATAGTATATAGGGATATGTATAGCAGACAGCAAAAACACATGGACTATAGAGAAACCGGAAGAAATGCGCATCGGTACACTGCGCAACAATGCGCTAGTGAAGAGCGCCGATTTAGAATACGAGTCAACTAACGTTTCACAAACTTTCACTAATGATTCGTAAACATTCAAACAGCCATTGATAACAATTCAGCATTAAATCTAAAACAATTGGTCACAGGTTGAGTCCACAATAGACAGCGTTAAGGAGATTGAGCTACTTAAGACCATCGATAATCTACTTAAGACCATTGATATCAATGGTGTTAAGTAGCTCAATCTCCTTAACGCTGTCTATTGTGGACTTAACCACATACTGGCATTCTAATCAATCCATGACTCGTTTTCAATCGTTAAGTAAAGTTAAGCAACCATCAACGGAAAAAGAGTCCCGTCTCAAAGTAATATACTAATCCATTAATGGTTGACGGACTTTTTCTTTCCGTGTAGAAAACGTCTCTCATGGAATATGGTAATTATATTAATTTTACCTTTAACTTAATGATATCGGGTTCGACGTGATCGTCAAATTCCCCAGGATAAGAATTATATTCAAACTGAAACTTTTCAATTCCTCTCAGGACCACGTAGTACACCAGCATGCTATCGGAGTCTTCTAATTTCTGAGCTAAAATTAAATTGCAATTGAATAACTTGCACGGAGAGAAGGGCGTAGTAGATTCTACTGACATGGCAGTTAAATCTACTAAACAGAATCGTTAGGTTTGGACTGACGGTACAGACAGTGCCATCTACTGCACTGTTTAGTAAGATAGTAAGATACACTGAGCAAACAGTATATTCTACTAAACAGAGAGGTGTCGTAGTGTATTATACTAAACATACAGTTGGCGCCACTAACCGGTGCACTAAATGATTTACTAAACGCGTTCTGTCACATTTACTGCAACTCTTCTCTCCGTGTGAATCTATTTTCTATATCCTATATTTAATTAATTATATAATTCTATAATTGAGTACCTATCTCATTAGCATTTATCATTTTTGGATCATATTCGTCAGCAATGCACGATCCTCTCTCGACGTGAATATCGGAAGCGTGCCTGCAGAATAATTTCACCTCTTTTTCTGATATAGAATCCATTGAACGTCCCAATTGTCTCAGCAAACGAATTGTGTGTCGCCAGACAGCTTCAACGTCGGCAATCGCTTGTTTATGGTACACTTGTTGAAGCGCAATATACTTTTCTGTATCGGCAATCATATCAGGTAAAGCACCTTTCAAAGGTAACAGTCCACAGCCTTCATTGTCCATAAAATCCCTTATGGCTTTTGCAATAATCCAAAAAGATCTACTCTAAAATATTTGTCTATTGTTAAAAAATAAATCACTTTTTCTATAAGCAACCACGTGAGTGAAGTTTACAACTTCATCGACAACGATTTTTTACTCAGAAAAGAATATTTTCTATTTAGAAATTTCTCTGTTCTAACTTGTTTGATAAAGAAACGTAAAAATTTTGTTAAGACAAAAATTTGAAGAGAAAATTATCTTTTCTCAGAAATATTGCTGATCATAAAGGTTGTGAACTTCACCAACATAAGCACAGGGCTAGAAATCCCGTAAAAGTCCGTTGTTTTTTTAAAAAAAAAAGGTCCATAAAGTCCGTAATTTGATTGAAAATGGACGAAAAGCTCGTAAATTACCTATACGATATATAATTTCAATTATTTTCAAAAATTTTCCTCAATTCAATGATTTTTAATATCTACTATTTTAATAAAAATTCGCAATAGAATTCAATTATTTAAAAAAATTTAATAAAATTCTACGCAAACCTTAAATTCTTTTTATAAAATAATAAAAATTTCACAGGTATTCAAATATTTAAAAAATTTTTTTATAAATTTCTTGTCAATTATTGGCGAAATTTCTATTATCTTTATGAATAAGAAAATTCTTCTCGAAAATTCAATAAAATTTTTGGCAAAATTTAAATTATTTTCAAGTAAGTAATAAAATTCTTTTCCGAAATTTAATTATTATCAAAAATTTTAATAAAATTCTTGGCAAAATTTTAATATTTTGTCAAAATTTCAATTATTTTCAAATAAATAATAAAATTTTTCTCCGAAATTCAATTATTTTCAAAAATTTTAATAAAATTCTTTGCAAAATTTAAATTATTTTCAAAAATTTCCCACAATTCAATGATTTTCAATCTCTATTATTTTAATAAAATTTTCCAAAAGAATTCAATTATTTTAAATACTAATTTTGACAAAATTATTAGCATAATTTAATTATTTTCATAAATAATAAAAATTTGACTGGAATTCAATTATTTTCTAATTTTTTTTATAAATTTCTTCACAATAATTTAATTATTTTTATAAATTATTTAACTTATAGCAGAATTTCAATTATTTTTAATTAATATAATTTTAGTCGAATTTCTCGAAAAATGTAATTATTCTTAAAAATTTTATTAAAATTCGTTAAAAAAATTCAATTATTTAATAATTTGTTGATAAAATTATTTATGGAAATTGAATTTTGAGAAACATTCAATTATTCAATAAATTATTTATTTTTGTATTTAAAATTTTAAATAATTAAATTCTCGTAGAATTTTCTAATAAAAATTGATTTAAAAATTAATTTTAGTCAAAATATTAATTAATAATTGAATATTAAAAGTATTGTAGCGTGAGTTTTTAGAAATAATTTAATTTTGAAAATGTTTCAAATTTAAATCTTTGAAAATCTGAATTTTTCATATTTTTAAATAACAATTCTGTAAAATTAATTCTTTTCAAAAAGTTTAATTGACATTATTCGACATTATTTTTTTATATTATTTGAAGTTTTTATTTTCTAATATATATTTAATTGAATAATTTACGAATTATTGTAATTTCGTAAAATTGAATATTGTAAACAAATGCATTTAAAAAATGTCGAAGAACATTTTCCAAAATTATTAAAAATAATCGATTTAAAGAAGAATTTTAGTTGAAAATTCTTGAAAATAATAATTGAATTGATTTTATCACTCGGTCAACTTTAATTATTATAAAACGTTTGGTCCGTAAAGTTCGTATTTTTTAACGAGCCCTGTAAGCAAAATAAAAATAAGTGAGATTTCTTACTTTTGCTGTTAAATTGACGCACTGATCATCATTTAAAATTTCCATTACAGATGAAGGAACTGTCGTACACCTCACATTTGTATTGACAGCTTTAATTGCCTCTTCAAAGTTTTCTTCATCAGTAGGATTATCGTGCTCATCTTTTCTTATTCCCTCCCTTATCAATTTTTTTAACATCTCCTTCTCCTTATAAGTAGAAGGCACATTTTCGTGCTCCTGTAACCATTTCGTCAGAAATTTGTAGAGAATAACAACGTAAGGAGTGTGCGAATGATCTTTGATATCCAGGTCATCAAGGTTTATCGAATCAAGATATTTTCCTAATAATTCGAAAGGTTTATCCAAACGTAAATCCGCCACTTCGTTATCTGGATGACTTTCAATTACAGTGTGTTCCTTCACCTGAACTCGCATGTAAGCAACGAAGCCTATAGATCTGCAGACTATTAAAGGAATATTCAAATCCCAAAGCTTTCTCGAAAGTAGAATCAGTGACCTGAAAAAAGTATTTTGTTTGTTATTATTTTGTTTTATACGAAATTTTTAATTATAAAGAAAAATATTCCACAAGTTCTGAATTATAACTCAATTTTTTAATACGTTTCGCAAAACCAACTTAAAGAAAAATAATTCGATCATTAGGGATAAATTAGTTATAAATTTATGATAAATAAAATTAGTTTTCAATTTTTGTTAAACTTACTTTTCAAGTAGAGAAGTCGCAACAACAACCGTGAAACTGTTGAAAAAATCGGGACTATTTTCTAGAATTTGTTCAGGACCTTCATCGATATAATCTCCTCGTACGTCAGGATTCAATTCAAGAAGCATTTGCGTTGCAACTTGAGCTCTTGACTTTCCTACACTGTCAGCATCTAGAAAGAAACTAATACAACACTTATTTGAATATAAAATTGCCTGAAATTTTCATTTTTATAATTTAAATTTATAAATTTACCAATTTTGCACACTATCTAGTCTCTAATAATTTTGATAATAATTATTCTTACTTTGATCCAATATCTTCGTCCGTGATCTTTTTACCATCAACAATTGTGAAAGCTCCAATTCCTGGTAATACTAAGGATTTTAAAATTTCTGTACCTAAACCAGTGGCATTTATTAAACAAATGTGGGCTGCTTCCAGGGAAGCTTGACCATGATCACCCCATAACCTGAAAATAATAATTTTTCATTACAATAATAAGAAGAAGAATAAGTAGTCTGGTTATTAATCTAAATGTTAAAACAACTTTGCGAAAAATAGTAACAAACTAACAAATATTTTCTTCCTTTAGACAAGTTGAAAATATTTTTTTATTTATTCATTAGATTTAGTAAATACCTTAATTGTCTATCATATTTTCTACTTCGTTCAGATTGCTCTGGTGATTTTGGAGCTGGAGATGCCATTCGAACGAAAAACTAATTTATTTACAAATAATCTAAAGTAATTTTTAACATTTACTAATACCGGTCTGGCGGTCTATATAAAATATATATTTACAGGTTAGGAAACTGCAAGTTTGCAACGTCAAAAAGGTCAAAAATTGTGAAAGGAGGTTGATTCATAGAAAAACCGCTAGACGGTGTAGTAAAAATTAAAAATTTTTTTTCTTGTAGCAGTAAATAATTAGCAGAAAAATAAAAATTTATTAAAAAGAAACAAAATATAAAATTAGGATGTCAATGTTCTTGAATGTTCTTAAATATTATCAATTTTTCATACAAGAATATTAAAACAATAAAGTGAAGTCAGCTGATGAAAGTTCATAGTTTAAATTTCCCGCCAGTTGGTGGACTTGAAATTTGTCTATTCAATTTTCAATTGTTATTCAATTGTTGCTACCTCAATTGTTACTTATTGAAAAATTTAGTTATGATACGTGTGATTTAGATTTTTTCATTTAGATAAAAAAAATGTTTTAGTATATAAAAAAATCCATAAAAGTAGAAAATACGCAAAATTATTACAACGCCACTTTTGTTGGTAGTGGTGAAATTTTGAACTATAATTGGTTTTACTATTATTTGCGCCATTTGCGCTGCGAAGACACATTTTTGAGACATTCTAAGATAAAATTTATAGAGATAAGAAGATTATAACTAATTTGATTACAATATCTCTAGTAAAAGTAGTAATTAATTGATTGATTTTTAATTTCCCTTCTTGTGCCAATAATGTATGTTGTTGTTATGTATCGTGCCTACCCAACCCTGGCTGCGGCCACTCTCTTGCGGAAAAAAATTTCAATTAATTCCAATATGGCAACCGTGGTGAAGTCTGCATGAGCCCGTGTCTCAAAAATGTTTTGAATTTGTTGAGTCAGACGTGACGAGTCGTCGACAATTTCATTCTAGGTCAGTAATGTGTATCTAAGTTTTGTTATTGTGATTTATATCGCGTTCGGTTAAAATACGACTAGAAAATAAATTCGCGTTCCCGTGTTAAATTAAAGGGACATTTATTCCATTATTATTCGGTAAGATAAGCAAAAATCGTTTTGACTCGGAACTGGTTTTTATTTGTGAGGTCAAATTGTCGAGGTTTTTTTTTGTTTTGAAATATTGCAAAAAAGGGTAAGTGATTTCGATTCTGTGTATGAAGGGGAGCGTGTTTGCAAATCTTCATGCTTCTAACCGCACGTTATCGTATTCGCGACCCTGCGTAAATTATTATTGTTTTATTGTGAGTATGAATACCATGTGTCTCAAGTGTTTTGGTATGAATGCGTTAGTAAATGTTATTATTTTGTTGATTGTGTGTGAGAATGTGCAGCAAAGTTCCTTTGAGAGTGTCAGAAATTTTTTTGCAAAATTATTGAGAGTAAGAGAGTGTGAGATGAAGAAGGCCCATGCTGCTTCTAACTATCAGCGCCGTACCCGGGAAGTCTGCCGGGAAGTTGGAAATGTCAAGATTTGTAAGCAACGAAAAGAAAACAACCTGCTCTTTCCCCACCAACAGGAAGACAAGAATAGTCGGTAAGTGTCATTTCTAATTAAATACTCCTCTCTGTCTATTCATACTTTTTTTATTATCGTCGTTTCTATTGTCTTGATCCAAAGTCATGTACTCTTTGAAATGTTTGCGTTCACCGCATAATAAGTAGGAATTATTTATATTTCCCATTTGGTGTATGTCAGGCAGATAAGAATTGAAAGTAATTACAAAACTATGAAGTAGTATTTCAGCTAAATGATAAAAATAATTAAACATATGATATTTGTAGAGGAGAAGTTTATGTTTTTATATTTTATTTGTTGATATGATTTTTTTCTTTACTGTTATTAAATTATTCTTGTAAATTAGAATTATCACACAAAGATTCTTGTGGGCTTTTCTCTAATCTTGGCATCGTTATTCTAATTTTGTCATTGAACCAAAGACAAGCGAGAGAAAAAGAATTATTACACTCCAAGTTGGTATAATTATCTAAATGGAGATTTACTCTGCTTTTAACAGGTAAATCTATCGGAGTAATTTACATCAAAACCTATTATTTCACACACACACATTTCACTTAATTAAATTTCTATTTATTGTAATTGAAAGAATTTTTTTCTTCGAAATAAAATTCTATTTACCGATTAATTAAAATTACATTAAAAAAAACCTTTTAGAGAATGAAGGAAAAAAATAATCCTCTTTTTTTTAAATGAAAAACCTTCCATATTATATCCCTTGAAAATAAAAAAAATGAATCTCGTTAAAACGAGTTTTTTCCATTTCATTGTCGTAATAAAAAATTGCAAAGCACTTTCGAAAAGAACGTTACGAAAATTTCATGTTATTACCTCCCGGTGAGAAAAAAAGGAGCTCAAATTTAGGAAAAAAGAAAATAACACACTAAAACTTTCACGAAGGAAATACCCTGAGAAAATGATTTATTGATAAAAAAAGGAAGTAATAACTGTTTAGAGAATTTATCGAGTTTTATCTGAACCTTTGGAGACTTATTTTTAGGGATTACAAGCAATTTTCCATAACTCTGCTTCTTATCAACCATGGAAATTGCTAAGGAAACCCATTTCTCAGAATGTTTCTACTGGGAATTGAATGAACTTTAACATGAAAAGTAAAAAAGATTTTTTTTTGCGCTAAGTGTTGGCCAATAATTTTCATTTAATGATTTGATGTTTTTCATATTAGGAATGTTGTTAGTTCACGTGGGTAGGCATATCACAAAAATCTTCCGGTTAGGTTTCAAATGACGATGGCTTTCGTTATGTCACGCATACAGGCATACTTATACAATCAGGCCTGCATGAGAAATAAATTGTTCAGCTGACAGGATATTAGATACAGCACAATTAAAAATATTTTTCTATTCATCTTTAAATTTAATTAATTTGATTAGAAGGGAAATACATAGTCAATTGTTTAAGAACTTTTGTTAGTTGCTTTAAGTCAAAAAATATTAATTCAGATTTTACATGTTTAATAAAACTATTTATTGCCTATTTTATTTATTAAATTATTAATTAATTAGTTTATTTATTTATTAATAAACTAGAAAATAAATTGCTATTAATTAATTAATTTTTAATAATTAAAATTGTATTTAAAGAAAAAATTAATTGTTTATATTTTTTTTAAATACAATTTTTATTACAAATCTAAATTAAATGAAAGATTTATTATGTTTTGTAATTGTAAAAACTAAAATGATTTCTCTGGTATTTGCGTCATTGATTGTTTTCAAGTTTTTCTATCCTTGAGAAAATAATATATTTTTTCTCAATTTTACTTTTCTTTCGTTTGTTATCGCGTTGTCGGTTCAAAAGGTATACATACTATTAAACACCCTTAACCTTCGTGTAATTTGTTCAATGAGTAGTCGCGAATAGCTTTTTACTCAATATTTTCATTAAACACATCTCTTCAATATAATAAATTCACCTTTATGCGATCGTAGGTTAATTATAAAAAGAGCAATCTTCTAGAAATATTGTCCTCGACCACACAACTACATCACGACTAGAGTAACTTTCATCAAATGGAAAAAAAAACAAAAAATTTATCTCGAATTACATACATTCAGTATTTGACTGATAGTTTGGGGAAAATTTCACCATTAATCAAAATTCAATAGAAACATTTTCAATACTGTAATTTATGGCTGTTTTCAACCATTTCTGCAAATTCATGCCCTTAAGGGTGTACATTCTATGCGCAGCACTAATGTATAGTAATACTTTATAAAAATAATAATAATAATAATAAATATCTTTTAAATTAAATAATATAGAATAATATTAATAATAATGATAATAATAATAATAAAAATAATAATAATATTAATAATATAATATAGACAATAATGATGATGATAATGATGATAAGTTTGCAACGGAAATATTAATTATATCTCAATAAAGATAGTTGTGAAAGCAAAATAATGAATGGCACTATATTTTTTAATAAATTTTTTTATTTTTATTTATTAGTTATTACTTGGACCATATCTCAAATTAAAAAATAGTCTGATCGTAAAAAGTTTCAAATTAAAAACAATGGAAAAACCAATAAAAATTATTGACATTTTTCAATCGGTTCAGTAATTTAAATCAATGGACCGTGATAAAAGTGGTTGTTGTTAAAAAATACAAAATTTTAAAATTTGTTCTATTAACAAAAATAAATATGTGAATTGGCAAAATAAATATCAGATTTCCTTATTGTTTAGGTTCCTAAACCTAATTACCTATTACCTAATTACCTATTATACTTTTATTTTTATTGCAGTGAGAAATTTTTGAAAATATTTATATCAGCAAAAATTTTTGTTCATTTGTTTAAAACGCACAGTTTTTCTGCAGATATCAAATTGAGACAAAAGACGAATCAAAAGTGTTGCGAAGCAACATTTTTATTTGTTTTTTGTCTCAATTTGATATCTGCAGAAAAATAATAAACGAATTTATTAAATATTTCCTCAAATTAAATTTTTATTATAATAATTAAAGGAAATGAATTCAAAATGAATTCAAAGAGGAAATGAATAAAATTATAATAATTTAGCGTCGAAGAAAAAAAATTAATTCTAAGTTGTCAAATAAAATTTTAAGTTTTTAATTTTTATTGCACTTAGTAGTTTATTTATAAATATTTTTAATAAGAAATATTTCGTCGTTTATTTGAACACTCGAAACTTGTGGATCTTGTGATTTAATTTTTTAACGAATAAAAGAAGTTATTCTTGACTATATAATGAGTTGCAAAATAGAAAAACTAAGGAGAAAATAGATATGAAAGAAGGAAATTAATAAAAGTCAATTATTTTTTAATTTAAGTGTTTTTTTTCAAGTAAAGTGTTTTTTAATGTTCGAGATATTAAAAAGTATAGTGTCAATAATTCTGATTATCTTCTTTTTTTAATTCCCAAAAGCTAGTGTAATTTAAAGGCGCAAAAATTGGGTACTTTTTCTGCAAGTATCGTTTTCTTCCGTTTTACATCTCTGTATAGCTAAGATGATGGCAATTTGCCAGATTCCCAATAATGGCACACATTGAAAGACAGTACAGGTCGACTCGATTGCAGCAAATCTATATAGCACTGCTTTTAGAACTACACTTTTTTGTTTATTGAGCTATGAAAAATCTGATTTATATACATAACCATACGATTTAGTATTATTTGACAAAAATTGCTAAATGTGTAGTTGCTATATGTACGTGGAAAAATTTACATTTACCATTCACATATAAAAAGTAATTTCCGTTTGTATAGAATAGTATCAAAGGGATCTCATCACAGCTTTACTTGAAAGGATATTACTTAAAGAGTATTGAAAATCTTTTAAAATCGGTGGAGAAATTGACTCTGTTTATTGCGAACCCATGTTCAAATATAGGGCTCTAGTGTGGGCCTTAACGAAAAATAAAAAAAAATTATTAGACTTTGGTGGTAATTGCCAAAAAAACGTTTTGATAGAAATTGGAACAATGTGGGTAAATTTCTGCTCTTTGGGAATTTTTATTGGTTAAAAAAATACAGCAAAACTGAGTGTTTTAATTATATAACTTACCGGGAGATAAATTTAAGTATATTATTGTGGTACTGTTCAATCAATTAGTTAATTATTTACGAGGATCACAGTTGGTCCCCTTAGTTACCTAATCCCCTTGTTTTCCTCTTTTCCCCTTTTTTTATCCCCTTGAATTAAGAAAATGCTCCCTAAAACACCTAAAATCTTGTATTCTCTCCCCTCATTCTCTTCTTTTTGAGAAAAAGTTACAAAAACTGCCATTTTTTGTAAGTTTGAAAATTTTCTATATAGTTACGTTTAATAAAAAAATACTTTTTGTACTTTTAAGTAAGTACTTTTTTTCTACTTTTTGTATAATTTTTTGTAACTTAGAAGAATTTAACTTAAAATTTTTTTTAAAGAAATTTTCTTCGGAAATAGTGAAAGTTATTCTGGAAATAAAAATTTTAAATATAGTAAATTTTAGTATTTTTGGAAGAAATTTTATAAAGTCCAAAGTAAAGTTTACTAATTTTTACTGAAATTTACTTCGGACATTGTAAAATTCATGGAATCTTAAAACAAAAGAAGCGTTCAAACAAATAAAGTTT